AAAAAAAAAGAATAATAAGAATAATCTTAACCATCAGAATCAGTAGAAGGTCTTCCGCCTGGAGCGGAAGACCTTAATTACACGGGACGGAGAAATAAATTGTTTGTTGTTTTTTTTTTAATCGTATTGTTGTGTCGACAGTGAACAGGCCGGTAAAAGCGATCAAAAATTCGAAATGATTTTATGCACTAGTGTTTGGATTTAAGATTAAATCAAAGATGAGATTAAGTTATCTTAAAGATTCAATATAAATAAAAAAAAACATAATGTTTCATTAGTCGTTGTTTCTACACGATGAATTTAAAACGTGATCAGAGTCTTCACAGATATTTGTTTTGTTTACATGGTTTATGACCGCAGGTGGCTGGTCGATGGTGACCTCGGCAACATGGGATCGCGGGTTGTGTTACATAACTAAAAACATCTAGGTGAACATGGAGAACGTAAAATGCGTACAGTTAATGATCATTAATTATTCGGTGCTTAAAGTTTAATATTACTTACATAGTTATATAGATACATTTAATTCCTTCCTTTATTTGAAGACGTTTTGTTCCCTTTAAAACTAAATTAAAAAAGAAAAGAAAGTTGTAAAAAATAATTTATGAGTGAACCACAGAACACGTTAAAAACCTTATTTAGAAGAAAATTAACATTAAATACAGTAGGGTATATTATTTATAGCAAATGTGTTTAAGTTATACACATGAAGAGTTCTGATTTACTTGCCGAATGAAAACGCTTACTTGTTTACGGGACCTGCTTTTTACCTACACATTACGACATATTACGCAATACTGGAACAAAACAACATTTTTATGAGATCAATAAGGTGTTAAAGAGCAACTTTAATTCCGAAAGCCATATCGAAATATTTACCGTTTTTGAGTTATAAAGCGAAAACTTTCAAGGGCTCTAGATCCCTAATTTTAGGGGCCAGACCCTTTTAAATGATATTAAATGAAATCTTTTGGAATTATGCACAACTTTTATTCTACATGTGTTAACAAATTATTTTTAATTTTAAAGATATAAAGGAAAATATGTCAAAATTTTTGCTCTTTTCCGCGTTCTAACTTTTGACCCCTCTCTAGCGCCATTTTTAATGCAAAAATCAAGAAAGAAAAACCGATGTGCACAACTTCAATGCTTCTTCTTTTCAATTTCAAAGGGTTTTGTGCTCCAATTATTACAGTCTCAAAGCCTTTGTCTAGAAATCAAAGGCATTCAAATTTCAATCAAAGGGGAATAACTCGTGAACAGAAGGTAATTTCCGAATTGTATTACTGTATTCTGATAGTGTTTTGTAAAGTCTAAAAGCTCTGAAAATTTGAACAAAATCTGTTCAGTAATGAGGAAGATATGAAGCTTCAAAGTTGTCGTCTAGGAAAAAAAAAAGAATAATAAGAACTAGAGCAAAGCTCGTTGCAAAGCAACGAGTAGGTCTTCCGTCCGATTTACGATGTTGACTGTGATAGATTTACTCAAAAAAAGAAAAGAAGGAAGAACAAGTATAATTGGATAAAATAGGCGATTGAATTATTTAAAATATGTTTAGAAACACATGAAAAAGTGATATCTTTTAATTTCGATCTATTTCCGGTTCTTTTAAATTCACTTCCGGTATGACAAGAAGTGCTCAAGACGACTTAAAACTCCACAGTGAGTGTGTACAAATCTTTCCTGAAAGTTTGGATGAAAAATATTCATTTTTTGGACAACTTCCGGTTTAAAAGTACAACTTCCGGTGGAAATGAAATGACTTGAAACACTTTATATGTCAATGTTATAAACATTTAAAAATAATTAAAAAAAATCAAAAATTGCATATTTTTAAGCTACTTCTGGTGTACAACGGAAGTGACGCCGGAAAAAACGAAACACCGGAGACAAATGTACAGATCATGATCTATTATCCCAGAAAGTTTCATGACTCCATCTTCAACCGTTTTTGAGAAGAGGCACAGACAAAATTTCAATTTAAAAAGAGAAAATCAAGTATAACTCTCGACCGGAAGTGACATCATCAAAATAAAAAAAATGCCTTAAGTTCATATAATTTGCCACCATTGCTGAAAGTTTCATGAAAATCCATCGATGCATTTACGAGAAATCGCGTGCACAAAATCGGTAAGAATAATAATAAAAAAAGTTGAAAAGAAACAACAGAATAATAAGAAGGTCTTCCGTTGAGACGAAAGACCTTAATAATCTTAATCATCACAATCTGTAGAAGGTCTTCCGTTGGAAACGGAAGACCTTAATAAGGGAAGATAACGATGGAAAAGCTGAAGTCTTCCGTTTATCACACAGTTTAGTTATTAGTTGGCCATTATCGTCTATATTCAGTTAAACATCCATTATGAAATATATGGAGAAAACGAACAGTATTCAAGCTTAAAAATCCATTCAAACAATACAATCGGGAGCAGAGCAGACATGGACCTCTAAAACATCAGAGGTGGGATCAGGTGCCACGGAGGAATGAGCATCCCCTACCGACAGCTCACACCTGCCGTGTGCTCCTTGTCATGATCGGGAAATAACAGAAAAAAGTCAGTCAGCACTTGACTTAATGATAGATTGTATTTGCTGACAAGGTCTGTATCGACCATAGAACTTACGAAATGATGACTTTAAACGAGACTGTTGGTATTCTTTTTTCATCAACAAATTACTTACCTTAGAAATTGTTCAAACGTAGAGAATGCTCTTGCGTATCGAATCAACTGAGAGATATAAACCCCATATGCAGGTGATGAGGGTATATTGCTACATAAGTAAGGAAAGTTGACGATTGAAAAGTCAAAGTCATCCCGTTTATCATAGAGCTTTGTTGTTAGATTACCATTAACGTCTTTTTCTAGTAAAATATCTAAATATGAAACAGATGTGTCAGACTCTGTGGTATCTTTTATTTCAAGCTCACTGGGATATATCGTGTCGACATATGAATGGAAATAACTATTGTTAAGTGATAATACACCGATATATCGAAATGTTGAGAAGAAAGCCACAGCAAAAGTTTCTTTTTCTCATGCATAGGATTTTGAATAAATATTGCTTCATATGAATACAAAAATAGGTCTGCTAATGAAGGGGCGAAATTGGTGTTCATGGGAATTCCAACAGATTGTTGGAAGACCTGGTCTCCAAAAACCACATATATATTGTCAATCTCAAGCAAGACTTGTTTGTACAGAAAGTTTTTTAACAAAATAATTTTGCAAATGACCAATGACAAGGTAAGTTAATTTACGAGTTTCATTTTATTGAAAAAGTAGCTGTTGTGGTATTAAAAAGCCTGAACTTTAATTTATCATGGGGAATGTTTGTTTGTTTGTTGTTTAATGTCCCTCTCGAAAATTTTTCACTCACATGGAGACGCCACCACATGCCGGTGGAAAGCTGCAAATTTTGACCTATACTCGGCACTCAAGGCCATTGAGCAGTGAGGGATCTTTTTCGTGCCAGCACCTACTGCGACTCATCCGATCTCATCCGAAGGACCGGTCTCCACGTCCCACAGTGGGATTCAAATCCGCGACGTAAGGATCAACTTCTTACTCTGCGACTCTAGAGCAAGCGCTCTAACCACTGCGCCACGTGAGCGATTCATGGGGGAATGCTTGTATATAGAGTTGAAAAGTCGTACGTTTTTATGTTACTGATTTTGGTAAAATTTTATGATTTCAAATAGTCCAAATTTAAGTATCCATATCTGATTTACACCACTTCTCGAATACATTGTTGTACAGTACTCCTGAAGATTGAAAAGTCAATATTGTGACGGCATCTACTACTTCTTTTAATTTTATGCATTTAATTATTTTTTTAATGGCCAAAATATCTGAAACTGCTGGTACAATGTTCCTCATTTTGCACATTCTAATCTTGGTTTCATTTCAATCATTCTGTTGATTTTTTGTAAAAATTAAATTATACATTTTCATTCTTTTAATGACCAAAATATCTGAAACTGCCGACACAATGTTCTACATTCCATCAATTTAAAAAGCTGTAATATGCTTTCAAATAAGAAGTTTCTTTATTTAATTCTTTGTACTAAACTATAATGTGTCATTTCTGAAAACAGGTGTTCATTGGGATAACGACTGCTTTTGAGATGTCACCAAGTTAGTATGTGATGAAACGAACTAAGACTTCAACAATGAAAAAAAGGGTGTATCTTTTATTGGAATAGGGTAACAAAAAATTGTTTTAAAATTTTAATATCTTAAAAGGTTTCCTCGTTTCAGCTTTATTTTTGTGCAGCACATCTTGCAGATTCGGTATGACTGTGATGTATATCAACTAAATCTTTCGACATTATATAATGTTGTGGTAATGATTAATTGCTAATCATACACTGAAAGTGTCATTGCAAATCAATAAAACAACACAAAGCACTTTAAATGTTTGAGAAAATTGCAATGAATTATTGAAACTTAGTTTATAACGTGTTGTTTTTGGTTGCTGCGTATGGACAGCTGCGTCAACGTTTGAAAGATCAGCTTTGCACAGCTTCAAGGGTGTGTGTTTGTGATTTATCATTGTCACAGTGAAGGAGTCCATTATGATTGAATCGACAATTTTCCGTCTTCAGTATATCGAACTTGACTTTTCTATCTAGAATGTATATTTTACCTCACCATTTACCTGCTTGATAAAGCACATATTCTGAATCAATTTAAGTGGGAACCATCCAGGAACAATTTGGACCGAAGTCTTTCCACAGTTCTTTTGAAATTAATTTCTTACTTATTACTTGAAACACTGGCACATGATGTATAAGCCATTAATTAAAAAATGAATTTAATTTCTTATCATAATATTAAAAACAATATTGCGTACAACTTCTTTGATCTACTGCGAATGTTTAATATCATTTTTCTTTCATACAACAACTGATTTAAGAGATACTAGTATATGATTCACCGAGGTCTTATATAAATCCAATACCAGTTGCGACATATTTTCAAAGCGTCCTTATCGATGATACTTTGGGATTCTACAAACAGCTGAATCAAAATGTTTCTCGTCTGGCTTGGTATATTTTTGGCTACGAGAGCCGCCTTGGCAGAACGTCAGAATATTACAATTGGAACTATTGTAGCCGACAAAGATGAATTGCCCTTTGCCATTTATCTCACAGGGCCAGCTATCGAAATGGGAATGGAAAAACTTCAGGAAATTTTGGAAGAGGAAGCCAATATCACATTCCTCCTCAGTGTACCCCAGTCTCAGTGTGTGGCGGACAAGGTCGGTGCGATAGCGGCGGAAATGTACTATGTAGGGAACGTGTCAGCGTTCATAGGACCTGGTAAGTGCCTAATCATTCTCTTCATCCTACAAATAAACACATAAATGATCATGTTGCAAGTCAAGTGGAATGATTTTTTGTGCAGATTTTTTTCCTGTGCTTTACACTATTACACATTATCAACAATACAGAAGATTAAGTGAATATTATTTACTGAGATCCGTTGAGGCATTTTTTTTGCACTGTACGTAGGAAACATTTATTTCTAAAATTATCTTTGTATGTCAGAAATGGAAATTTCTGAAATTTACTTGGATGAATGACTTTATTGAACTATTTTTAAGGACAACTTCTGTTTGTGCTTCATATTTAGGTTGTAGTGCAGCAGTGGACGTGGTTGGGAGAATGGCTAGTTACTGGAATTATCCGATTTTGACTCCGGTCGGCACCAACGAAGATCTGGGCAACAAAGGAGATTTTAAAACTCTCACAAGGCTTGCCTACAACTATGCACAATTAGGACGATTTTATAGATACGTTTTCAAAGAATTTAATTGGACCGACATTACTGTTATGTATGATCTGATGGGTAAACGCACTCTACCAAGTAAGGTCCTCAACAGACTTATTGGGGAAAACCTACAAGTGGAATTTGAAAAAGCAGGGCTAAGATCCACACTTCTGAAGTTCGTTTCTGATTCGGAAAAAGATTACAACGAACTATTGACCACTGCAAGCACATCATCAAGAGGTTAGCATTGTACTCTTGGAAACGTATTCACAAAACAAATTTAAGTTCATAAAATGAGACATATGTTGTTTCTTTTGAAAGTACACCTTAAATCTTAATAGGGCGGGAGGGGGGGGGGGTTATAAAAAAGGGTGTATTGTCATGCAGGTTAGCAGGTTAACCCTTGTTATTAATGGCAATGCAAACAAACATTGCTAATGCAATACTTGTCCCCTACCTGCAAGTGTAATCTGGTTCCCGTTAAAAATTGAAAATGCCAGAATTCCGTCAAAAATCATTGAAGCGGGACGAAATGCAAACTTAATCTATAACTCATCAAGATACAGTCACATACAAAAATCAACTCAATATCTGCAAGCGTTTAGGAAAAAAGTGCGGAAAACCAAGTGGGACATACATAGACAGACATACAGACGGACGGACAGACGCAGAGGAAACCTATAGTCCCCTCTGGTTTCACCGGTAGGGGACTAATAAACCAAAATACGGTACAATGTACTTCTTTGTACATTTTATATATAACACCACGCAAAAGTCGGGATTTCCCGATGTTGCGTTTATCAGTAAGTTGTTGTAAAAGCTACAATGCACTAAATAATAAGAACATATAATGTTCTATTCTATTCGTAAAAATTCATGTTTGCTGTAGCACGAAAACAAAATGTGTATTGATCTCAATGTCTTTCAAATTTATCAACCTCTTTGAGGCGTACATATCTTCTACAAATTACATTTTTGAATATGCTTTTGATGAACAAAATTACATATTATTTCACAAAATTAACTCTTCTTTTTAATAATTCATATTATAAATGCGCCTATGTGTGAAGGAATACAATATCCTGGTGCTGATTTCATTTCAACGAGCATTTTGCCTGACATTTTATAATTTATTGACTATCAATAATGCAACTTTTAGCATATTTTCTCTTGCACTATTCTGGTTTTACGCGCACACGAATAGAAATGAATTATATTAACTGCAAATTATGTTTATTGAAAGACAATGTCGTAAAAAATTAATGTTCTAGGCAAAGTATATTGTAAACCCATTGTAATATATTTCATCTTTTAAAACTGTAATTCTAGAATGATTGCACTGTACTCAAAAGCTCTCAATAATATGGAAGGTTCCGCATCAATTGGAAAATTATTCCATTGTGAATCATTAAATTGATCAAAACTTCGAAGACAAATTTTCTTCAATACCAAAACTAGCATTACGTGTGATCTGTGTTTAATGTAAACCGATTCTTTCAGTGTTTGTGATAGCATGTGACAGTGTCGCTCTCCGAGAACTTATGATAGTGGCTCATTCCCGAGGGATGACGAACGGTGACTACGTTTTTGTGTATTATAAGGCATTTCGAGGAATTGGAAATGGGGACATTTCATGGAGAAAATCAGACGAAAACGATCGCGTAAAGTGACTTTCTTAATTAAAAAAAAAGATTATTCTTGAAGTGAATATTTATTACACATTCATGGATAAACCGCTTCATTTTTTGAAAAGAATTGAGCTTATTTTATAATATTTTAAATTTAAAAATAATTTTTGGACCAAAGTCAACAAACTGAATTAAGGAAATGTTGCACACACAATGCAAATTCTCTTTATTCCTAAAATTTCTTAACCTGCGAAATATTTCCTCCAATAATACTGAATGTTATACTTTACATGCAGATTGTGAAGAAAGCCTACGAATCTTTGCTTGTTGTTAGTTTGTTCAAACCAGCAAGTAATGAATTCAGAACATTTGAATCAAAGGTGAAAAACAGATCCATGGAGCTATACAATTTTAGCTTTGATGACCGAGGATATGATGTAAGTATAACATTTCATTTCTTGCACTACGTATGAATAATTTCTAAATGACGAGGTAAATTATTGACAAACAAATTGATGAAACAAGAATATAAACAGCCTCGTTTAAAGTCATTATTTCATAAGTTCTATGGCCGATACAATGACCTTATCAGCAAATACAATCTATCACTAAGTCAAATGGTGACTGACATTTTTCATACTAATTGTCAGTCCATTATTTACACACTGAATTGTCAACGGATTTATATTATTTCCCGATCATGACAAGGAGCACACGGCGGGTGTGAGCTGTCGGCAGGGAATACTCACTCCTCCGTGGCACCTGATCCCACCTCTGATGTTTAGAGGTCCATGTTTGCTATGCTCCCTATTTGTATTGTTTGAATGAACTTTTGTGATTGAATACTGTTCGTTATCTCTATATGTTTTACTGAAAACAATTTTTATAAGCAATAAACAATATTATAATAATAAATCGTGAAATATAAACTTGAATTAGATTTAATCATGTTTGCTTGAATATAAAGTACTTGATAAATGGTAGGCATGTTTTATATGAAGTTTTTAGGAGATCAAGTCTATCAATAAATCTGTCGGAATTCCCATGGGTTACATTTGCACCCCGTTATTAGCAGACCTATTTTTTTTAATCATATAAGACATAATTTATTCAGAAACTTCTACATGAAAAGAAGTCTCTTGTAGTGGCCTCCTTCAATTCATCATTTAGATATATATCGATGACGTTTTATTAATTAACAATATTAATTTTCATTCCTACGTTGATTCGATATACCCCTTTTAATTTGAAATAAAAGAGTCTGAAATATCTGTTTCATATATGGATATTTTACCAGAAAAAAAGTTTATGGTAACCTAACAAACTTTATGATAAACGTTATGGCTTCAATTTTTCTTCGACAACTTCCCTCATTTATTTAGGAATACACCATTGTCACCTGCATATAGAGTTTATGTCTCCCAGTTGATTCGATATACTCGAGATGCTCTACGTACGAACAATATCTAAAACGAGACAAGCTATTGACAAATAGGTACATGTAGATGAAACAAGAATATCAACAGTCTTGTTTTTAAGTCAATATTTTGCAAATTCTATGGTTGATACAAGGAACTTGTCAGCAAATAAATCTATCCTTGATTCGAATCTTGACTGACGTTTTTTTTTTTTAAAAAAATGTTAGGCTATTACTTTCGCACTGAATTGACTGCTGATTTTTCCGTTTGTAAGATCATGACAAGGAGCACACGACAGATGTGATCGATCCCTCGATGGAGAATGTTTACTCCTTCACCACACCTGATCCCATTTCTGATGTTTTTAGAGGTCATTGTTTGCTCTGCGTGAAATTTCTTTTGTTTCCGTGGATTTTTGAGCTTGATTATTGTTCGTTATCTTCATATTTCATGAAGATAAGAAACAATTATTATGCTCAAAAGTCAATTTAAACACTACAAATTGAGAGCAGAACACATAAAACCATCAGAAATCGGATCGGGTGCCATGGAGAATAACTTCCGGACTAACGGACAGAATGTCCCGTCTACCTGATCAATACGTAGGGCTCACGGCGGGTGACCGGTCAACAAGGGGTGCTTACTCCTCCTTGGTACATGGACTGGGATTCATAAAACTTCTTAGTATATTCTTAAGTTTTGAAAAAACACTTAATCTTAATTTTTCATGAAGAAACCACGCTATATCATCTAACTAGAAACTAGAAATGAGAAATTTATCAACTTGTAAGTTGCAAATGTGCAATGTTGATGACATTGCTATACATATCAGTTGTGATGTAATGCACATAGAACTAAATACCTCCATCACAAAAGAGTGCGCTTTTTGTTCTGGAAATTGTATGAGTTGCTAGCGTGACCTAACCTAAATAATCTAATTTTTTAGAATGAAACTTAGCTAAGAATGGCACTTAGAATTTATATGAATATGGCGTATGAATTTTTTTTAGCTAAAAATTTACTTTATACTTATGTGTGAATCTAAGCACAAGTCTTAAGTATGTTTATGAATCCTAGCCCTGATTCCACCTCTGGAATCTCCAGGGGTCTGTGTTGTGTGCCCTCTTCACATATTTGTATTGTTTTTGATTTTTTAAGTGAGCGATCAATGTTCATTATCTTTATCTTTTTTTTTCATAAGTATGCATCCTCTATAGACCTCTTACATCCGCCGCGAGCTTTTTTTTCTTGATCTGGTAAATCTGTAGACAAATTAGTATGAAAAAATCTGCTTAACAATTGGTTTTCGAAATGTCATTCAGTCTCCGACCTAACGATACGTTGTATTGCAAACGAAGTCATTTTATTGACCACAGGATTTGCGAATTGACTATAAATAGATTGAAGTTATCCTTGTGACATAAACTTATTTGCCAGTAGCCTTTGTCGTCGTAGAAATTGATCGTACACATAACATGCCTTTTGGGCATCGAATCAACCTGGAGACATATACATTATATGCAGGTGATTATGGCTTATTGCTATATAAATTATGGAAGTTGACAATAGAAATGTTGAAGTCATCACGTTAATCATAATGTTGAGTTAGATTGCCAACAATGTATTTCTCTAGTAAAACATCAAAAGATCAAGGGGCCTCTTCCAAAATTGTGAACTTTATGGCCCCTGGTTCAGGGGCTTATGTTGTGGAGTTGTCTTTTGAAAACATAGTGAAAATGCATTATGTCTATGATCCTGGGCATTTTGCAGATAAACTAAGTTTACAGTTATGATGAGCAAGGACACGTCTTCCAGATTTGTGAATTTCATTGCCCCCGGATAAGAGGTTCTGGTGTTTTGGCGGGGCTCTATTGTTTATAAAGTGAAAATGCATTGTTTCTTTGAAAATTTTCTTTGCTTCTGGGTATTTAGCAGATGAACTATGTGCATGATTATGATGAGCAAGGATGCATCTTTTTTCAGTTTGTTTTGTATTTTGGACATTGTAAAGCTTTAGATAATCAAACCTTGTCATCTACCTCAGAATAATGTCAATTAAAAAACAAGTCACAGAGACCTACTTTCTCAGTTATGTGTCAATTAAATTTCACATCTTTTATAGCTAAGATACTAAGAGGCTTAGAATTATCATACTTTGTAAGTTGATGCATCTTTTTGTTTAAGGAGTGTCAACAAAAAAGTAAGTCACTCTGACCTCCTTTCTGAATTTAATAGCTTATCATTTTATAAAAGTTTATAATATTTTATAAAATATTATGAAATATACTGGGCTTATGAAATTTAAATTGTTGATGCAACTTAACTCGAAGATAACAGTGATCTACTTTTTGAAATAATTTTTATTTTTTGTCAGATATTTTTAACTTGAATACCTAGAGGTCTAGGATCATCAAACCTGTCAGTTGATTTTCTTAGGATCTTGTGATATGTTGACCGAACACTAGGTCACAATGATCTACTTTTTGATATTAATGGTTAAAATTTCGAAATCCCTTCTACATTTTCAACACTATGTTATTCAGGATGAAGAAACCTAGAAAATTGGTGCAAAGTGGGCATGTGGATGTGTTAACAAAAAGGAGGTCAAAGTGACCAACAATATCAATTATCTTTATTTATTGTCAAATGTTTTAAACTTGCATACTAGTAATAAAAAGCCTAGAAACATTAAACCCAGGCAGTTGATGTGTCTTCGGACCTGGCAATTTGTTGACTCCAAAGTAAGTGACAGTAACAATGATGCAATTTATCAGAAAAGCGATTCTAGGCCATTGGTCCTCTTGTGTATGGAATTGACACTGATTAGGAGATAAGTTAATTTAACATCTATCTATAGATCGGTTTTCCCGAACTGTGGATTGCAAAAAAAGATTTAATGTGACTAAACCAAAATGACATGGAGATGCAAAGACTTACCCGAATAATTGAACGACCCAGCAGAATATTGCAAAAGGTAAATGTAACGAACAGTGATCAATCTCATAAATCGAGTGGAGAATACGGATCCTGAACAGGGCAACAACAAAGACCCTTGGAAACACCAGATGTGGAATCAGGTGCCTAGGGGAGTAAGCATCCCCTGTCGATCGATCAGATCCGCAATGAGCCCTATGTATTGATCAGGTAGTAATCTCTAATCAAATTTGATATAAAAATGACCATACAATTGGTACGAAATATATCAGACAAAACATGGCTCAACGATAGGCTGTAATTGCAAAAAAGTGATTAGAATTTGCAAACAATTACTTTAAACACCGTTGTTAAAATCCTTGTAAAAGTAATTTATTTATCAGTAGCTTGCCTCGGTGTAAAATTTGAACATACTCTTGTGTACCGAATCAGTTCGGAAACAAACTCCATATGCAGGTGATAGTGGAATATTATATACGAAAATTGACGATGAAAAAACCAAAGTCAACCCATTTGTCAAATTGTCACACAGTGTAGTTGTCAGTTGACACTTATCCTTATCGTCTTTAGTCAGTAAAAAATCCAAATATGAAAGAAATGTACATGAAGTAGACTCTATGAAGTCTTTGATATCGAGTTCACTGGGATATGTCGAGTCAACATATGAAGGAAAGTAAATATTTTGATAAATTAAAAAGTTGTCTTTGTATATATATATATATATATATATATATATATATATATATATATATACTAAGTAAAGGTTGGGTTGAAGACCGAACAAGAGTTTTTCCCTTCTCATGTAGAAGTTTTGCATAAATTCTGCTTCATAGGAATATAAAAACAGACCAGCTAAAAGAGGAGTACAAGTAGTGACCACGGAATTCCAATAATCTGTTTGCATTGAATTTATTGAAATTATTGACCATTTCTATAAATTTCATATACATCAGATTCGTAGAAATTTCAGAATTTTGCCCACGTAATTAAATGAAGTAATCAGTTTCTCCTTTGCATGTTTATTTTTTTTTTGTCTTTCTTAACAAAGTTCTTCCTTCGGACTGTACCACTTTTTATTCCTTTCTTTCCACTCAACTATATGATCTTTGTAAAAGTAAAGTCAATTGGTATGCAGAAAAATATTTGTTCAAGAGGTGAATCCTGTAAATGAATAAAAGCCGTGTATTTGTGGCGGTTTCACGAAGTCTTCTTTCATGTTGACTAATAATTTCTGTAGATTTAAGGGTTCTTTTTTATTCCCCCTTCATCATAAAAGAAAAATGGATTTCATATTATGCGAGATAGTTACAGGTCTTGAGAGTGTCTTTGATATGAAAAAAGAAATGAATAAGAGTTTAAAATAAAACCCGGTGACAAACGAGTACATGTTAAAGAACCTTTTTCATCCTTTGTACAAATTAATTTCTTCAAACCATGTGTACACTTTTACTACAGGAATAAATGCTCACCAAGTTTCTCTCTAACGTGTAACAGATATAAAAATAATCACTGGGTGGGAGTGATGAATAATCACTGTGTGAGAGTGATGGATATTATAGGGGCAATAGGAGAAATTGTTTTTATTTCTTGTTATAGGTGAATCCTTATGTTACAGCGTTCTATGATGCGTTCACGATCTACGGACAAGCCCTAAAAGAAACTATACAGGCTGGAGAAGATTATAAAAACGGGGAGATGATTAAGAGCAGGATCTGGAACAGAACTTTCCATGGTTAGTGAAATTACTTACATGCTGCAATTAAGAAACTTTTAATAAAACACATTTAAATTCAGTTTTTTTTTCTTAATAACCACTTTTCTTTAACAATAATAGATTATTTAAGATATAATAATTCAGTCTGAAATCAAGATCGATAACAATTTGCAATTCAATGAAAAGAAAATCCAACTGAAAAAAACAACAGTTGCATAAAGTTTTTTATCTCCTCGTTGGAAAGAAATAAAGGGGAAAAAATGTTGAAACATGAGCGTGGTTGCATTCCCTTGATAATAGTATGAAAAATGTGAAGGTAGCGAACAGTGATTGATCGAAAAACTTACAACAATGCAAATTTGTGAAAGGGCAAAAAAACGTACCCCAGGATATTCCAGAAGTTGGATCAAGTGCCTAGGAGAATTAAGCATCCACTGGTCGACATGTCACATCCGCCATGAACATTATGTATTGATCAGGTGGACAGAATAACCCCAGTCTAATCATATATAAAAAAAAAACAAGGCCTAAAAATTGGTATGGAATATGTTAGTCAAATACGATCCAATTATAGTAAGTATTTAATTACATGGTCATTATAACGACCAAAGAATCTACATGAAATGTATGGAGATAACGAACAGTATTCAAGCTCAAACGTCCATTAAAACAAAACAGATGTTGGAGCAGAGCAAACACGGACCTTTAAAACATCAGAGGAAGGATCATACGAAATTCTGACTTAATACGAGATTGTTGAAATCCATGCACTATCATCATATTTGTCAATAACCTGTCTCGGTTTAAAAATTCATTGTATTCAGAGCATGTTCATGAGTAGCGATGAGTTGGGAGACAAAAACACCATAAGCAAATGAAATTGGAATATTACTTGATTAATATAAAGTCATACAATTTAGATGTTAGTTGGCCCTTATCGCCTATAGTCACAAGGAAAACATCAAATTCAAATACCAAAATATGAAACAGATGTGGCAGAGTGATTGGAATAAAATAATTGGAATTATTAATAAATATTATATGTCCATAATTCAGGAGTAAGTGGAGAGATTCTTATTAATGCTAATGGTGACAGAGAAATGGACATGATGCTGTTGGATATGCATCCAAAATCGGGGGAATTCCAGGTATATGTTTTAAGCTTAGAAATATATCTTATTTATATTCTGTAATAAGTGTTATTTTGTCTTTTGCACTTTCAACTGTTTTTGAACTCGTGATAATTTTTAGGCAGTTGGATATTTTTACGGATCAAAAGGAAGGTTTGAATTTGACCCTGATGTCACCATACACTGGCCGAACAACAAGGGTCCACCAGCAAACCAACCTCGATGCGGCTTTACTGGAGATGCACCTGAATGTCAAATCACAGGTTAAAAACTAGTGGAACAATTATTGTAAATATCAAGTTTCTTTTTTATGATGACATTCTAGAACTTTACTGTTGAGGTTTTTCTTCCTCGGTTTCCACTGAAATCATCAGTTCTAGTGATAATTATTGTGTAATTGTTTTACTGATTTTGATTTCAGGGTTTCCTTTGATTGGAATCATATCAATTGTGTTCTCAGGTGTGATACTTCTCCTGGGCTTATCTGTTTTAATTGTTTACAGGTACCACTTCATTAATTTAATTATATAACTTTCAGGTTTTTAAGCTAAAATAGTTTTGATTCATCCATTATTACTGCTGAAGTAAGTTTGTCTATATACAGTGTACAGTATGGAAATATGTACATGTATATCTATACATATACTTTATCTTAACAAATTTAAATTATTTGGTAGGAGAATGAAAAACGAGTCAGAATTGTACAGCAACTGGTGGCGGATCCCTTGGGAAGAGATCATATGGATCTCCTCTGGTAAAAGCGAAACCTCTAGTATTGGGTTTTCTGTGTCTAAGGTAAAATATATTGAAATACTTTTAAATCGCACAATGCGTATGTACAAATTCAATAAATACAATAAAGTACTTTTAATGAAAAAATGGAGCTACAAAGTCTTTGGTGCGTTTTGGTTGAAGAACGAGCTCTATTATTGTTAATATTAATGTTTAACCGAGAGTGTTTGAATTGCTGATATTGCTCAATCACAGACTGCAAATTTACAATATTGGTGTGTTGATTTTACTTTCTAATATTTCTTTTTAACTTTTTGGATTATGGATTTTATATCATTTATTAATATACTTTACATTTCCTACTTTCCTTGAATTCTAAGGATAAGTTTTAGTATATGAAAGTGCTATGATGTATGACATTCAAACACGCCGGAAATTTCGTAGTTTTGATAATTTTCGGATGAAAGATGTTTCTATATAGGTTTTATGATATATCGATCTGAAACACTCTTGCATTATGTAAGTCATGAAAGTCAACCGAAAGTTTTAAGTTCCCTCAAATCTGTCTCCATGCCTCTTTATTATTAGAAGGAAATAACATTGCAAAAGTGTCATAAAAATAGAGTTTCGTATATTGACAGCTGAAGTCTTTGTGTGACGAAGAATTAAGCTTGGTTAAATACAGAAACACTCTGGTGGCCGTATATAAGGTTAGTTTTTATTTTTTTTTTTTTTTAAATCTCTCTCTCTCTTTCTATATATATATATATATATATATATATATATATTTCTGAGATGTCATACATTTATTCTTGCAGTCTAAAGAATGACCTTTGACAATGTCCGATATTAGTGAGCAGTCTGATATTAAGTGTAATATTAGATTGTTTAGGTGCTGATATCCTTCAAATTTGGACTGTTACTGAACACAAGTAATGAAAATGTGATTATTAACAAAAGTTTAATAGTACATGTACAATGATTATTTAAAACATAATTTTATGAATTGAGCATAAAAATTAGAAAATGAAAATATTAATCTTCAAATTAAATCGAATATACTATCACAAGAATTTCAGGAAATTGCGCCTGACCAAGCAAGGATTCAAACACAAGCCATCTGGCCTGAAATTGTAATAAACTTGTTAAACATCAAGCAGTGTTTTCATTTAGTGTTATTCTGTTGCCTGGGTCGAACAATTAATGAGTGGTAGTTAACTGCTATAAGCAGAATTTGCTGGTAAATCTGTCATTTTAACCATAGAAGAGTTCTAGTTATACATTGCGATATTATCAATTCGTATGTTATCTTTTATAAAGATATTCTCGATCTCTTATTAGAAATTAATTTACATTTAGCGTCTTATCAAAGTTTGCATCTGCATTTTCCTTTCCATTTCTTTATTACATTTACTATAATCCAAAGGATTGCTTAAAACCCAATGAAATTTCATCCCTACTTTCGATTCAAAAAAATTGCTTCATTTTTCATTAACACTTTTGTCAAAGCAACAAATGAAATTGAAAGGGCAATGTTTTAAGTAAAAACATCATATTAAACTATTTTTCATACAAAACTGTATTTAGCCATTACAATTATATATTATTAGGGGGCGATAAACGGATTGAGTAATCGGTCGGACGTCTCATCTAGATAATACTGTACTAGTTATAGAATCAATTACTTTTCAATCCTAACCGTATTCTGAATTAATTTACATTTTTTACACGTGACGTATAAGTTACGATAGCTATACATATTAGTGCATGTTATATAGGCAAAGTTTATCATAATTGTCATATTGTTTTTTAACTTCAGAATTTTTTAACAGTTATTCAGTTATCAGTCCAACGATTAAGAAATCATAATGCTGAATATTAATATTTTTACAAGTATTATGCCCCCGGATCGAAAGATCCAGGGGGTATATTGTTTTTGTCCTGTCTGTCTGTTTGTCTGTTTATCTGTTTGTCTGTTTGTCCGTTTGTCTGTTTGTCAGTTTGTCTGTTTGTCTGTCTGTCTGTTGTCAACTTTAACCTTGCCCATAACTTTTGATTGGTTGGAGCTATGACTTTCATATTTCACATGTGTATTCCTTGTGACAAGACCTTTCTTTGGGTACCATCATATTTGACCTTTTGACCTTGACCTTAGAGTTTGACCTTTTGCAAAATTTTATGAGACTTTAACCTTAGCCATAACTTCTGAACAGTTGGTGCTTGGGGTTCCAAACTTCACATGTGTATTTTTTGTGACAAGGCCTTCCTTTGGATACCAACAACTTTGACCTTTTGACCTTGACCTTGGAGTTTGACCTACTTTTGAAAAACTTAAACCTTGGCCATAACTTTTGAACAGTTGGTGCTTAGGGTTTCAAACTTCACATGTGTATTCCTTGTGACAAGACCTTCCTTTGGATACCAACCACCACTTCGACCTTTTGACCTTGACCTAGGCGTTTGACCTACTTTTGAAAAACTTTAACCTTGGCCATAACTTTTGAATGGTTGATGCTAGGGCTTTCATACTTCACATATGTAATCCTTGTGACAAGACCTTCCTTTGGATACCAACCACTTTGACCCTTTGACCTTGACCTAGGAGTTTGACCTACTTTTGAAAAACTTTAACCTTGGCCATAACTTTTGAATGGTCGATGCTAGCGCTTTCATACTTCACATATTTAATCCTTGTGACAAGATCTTCCTTTGGATACCAACCACTTTGACCTTGACCTTGACGTTTGACTTTTATTCAAAAAACTTTAACCTTCGCCATAACTTCTGAACAGTTGTATCTAGGGCTTTCAAATTTCATAGGTGTATTTCTGGAGACAAGACCTTTCTTTGGGTATCAACATTTCTTATATTTTGGCCTGGATTTTGACTTGCATTTGAAGAAACTTTAACCTTCGCCATAAGCTGCCATACGGGGGCATCAGTGTTTCACAAACACATCTTGTTTTTCATTTACGAGAGTCATTCAAACATACGTAGACTTTTGTCAAAACGTCATATTAAATCCAAATTAATACATTAAAAATTAAGATGTTTCTAAACAGGTTTTTATTATAAATATGATATCGGTCTGAAGCTTTCTTGTATTATGGAAGTTATGATATTTTTCCGAAGGTTTTGAGAGTTTTAAATTTCAAGGTAAACTTCAAATAATTAAAAAAAATATATATCATGATAAATAAAATCAAAAAGGACAAAAACACGTCAAATTATAGTGATTTACGAAAAACACATTTAAGGACCCTCTATACACTGATGAAAAATGCTTTTTGGACTTTGAGAAAATTATATAACAAAAAGGAGGATATTTTGAAATTAACTAACTCATTTTTAATATAGGGAGCGTGCCTTTGTCATTCAGGAAAAATCGTCAAAGACAATGAAGTAATAGAAAAGAAAAATTGCCTTCGCTTACTCAAATGGATAAAATACATGCAAATAAAGTTTTCAAATACTCTATCTTGGTCTAAAATAATGTTTAGAATACTTGGATTTATTTTAAATTATGTGATACAGTTCAGATTACAATTTTTTTCTACTTATATGTCAAATGGTGGGTCAGTCTAATTACACAAAAGTACCCTGAAAATAGGGTGCAGTGTAGAGAGGGCCCTTAATTATGTTTATAGTCGTATCTCAGTAAAATAAAATAAATTAAATCATGAAATTGTGTATATAAGCCCAAAATAAAAAAAATTCCTTTATTTCCCCTAACGCGACCGACCCAATTAAATCGCGCCGACTGAAAAGATTTTTTAAGTAAGATTATTCAAATATTTTTTTTTAAAATTTTATCAACTTTTATAAAATATCATTTCATCAAAATCCGTTTTTATCAGAAGGGTCGACATTGTTGGAAATAAATTGGTGCCCACATGTGGTCACAAAGGGTTAGTTTGTGTTATAAAACAACGGCGACGTAATAACCTTATGCCTTTAGCTTATTAGAATCTTACACTCTTGAAACATTTCGTTAATAAAATATATCATGACTAATTAAGAGTGTTTTGGTGATATTTACAAACTTGTCTTTTAAAATTAAAGTATGTAGTACATGGTAAGGCCCGTCTCATGACTATATGTACATTAGCAGACGAGGGGCCCACCTTATGAACACATCAATCAATTTCACTGCATTTTATTTATTTTGAGTTTTGATCTAATAAACGGTTCATCTATGTTCCTATGTTAACTATATGGGACGACAGGAGTTGTATATATACGTGTCTGCATATTTCATCCTGATGAACATTATTCAGACGTTATTTCTTAATGCCTTTTATTCATGGGTTAAACATCGTGACTATTACATCGTGTATGGCATTTTAATCATTTTAAGATATGGTTTCGATCAAATAAATATTGTTTACATACTTTTATGTACTCGGCACTTTTGGCCATTGAGCAGTGAGGGATCTTTTCTGTGCCAACATCAACTGCGACACTGGACCCAAGAATTTACGGTCCCATTTGAAGGACCAGTCTCAAAGTCCCTCATTGGGATTAGAACCTGCGACTTAAAATTAGATCCTTACTTAGGGACTCCAAGACGAAATGCTCTAGAACCACAGCACAACACAAGGCCATTGAAAAAGAAAATTGCATGTGTTAACACTTGAAGCTAATAGTAGGTTTGAATAATATACTTGGATGTCCGGTTTTGCGTATCTGAAAATCTTTTTGAATATTCGATATCAATAAATTTACATTGGAGTGGGTCTCACAAGTTCAATTGAGTAATAGTTGCGAATTAATTTTCCCTATTACTGTTAAATGGTCTTTGTATGATATTCTGTTAACAAATCGCTTTCTTTTTTAATTTTCTTGATTATAAAGGTATTCCATCAAATCTCAGAATGTATTTTCAAAGCTGCTGTCAGAAAAAAAAAATATTTACCTACCTACCTATCCAACTTGAGATTTAAGGGTCGGGTTAGGGGAAACAAAGATATTTTTAATGATAGCCTAATTGATTGATTCTATGTTGTTCGATAATTTTTCACTCATAGAGAGATGTCACTATATACCGTTGAAAGGCTTCAAATTTTGACCTTTACTCGGCACTCAGGGCCATTGAGCAGTGAAGGTTCTTTATCGTGCCAACGCCTATCATGACACAGGGCCTCGGTTTTTAAGGTCTAATCCGAAGGATCCGCAACTTTCACTTCAAAGTGCCGGGCGCTTAGCGAAGGAACAGTTGCTACCTATATTTTATTGACCTAGGTCAGTCGCAGCCGTGATTCGAACACACGACCTTCCGATCACGGAGCAAGCGCTCTACCGGCTGAGCTACCGTGACGGTTGAAATTGTGTATAATTAAAACATTTCACATGCAAATTCTCAATGTTAAATTTGGTTTTTAAAGCAAGATTCAATTGCAGAAAACAGGCAGTCTTCATTAAAATAATAATAAAAATAATTAAAAGTGAAGTTGCAAGACATCACAGAGCAGCGAGTTAGCAATACATTTGTATGTTGCACTCGGGAAAAGTCCGAAATAAACTTTGGAAATACTGGTGGAAGCAGAAAGGGAACTGTGCATTTGTGTATAGATGGCAAAGACAGTTTTTTTTTTGGTGTAGAGACTCTGTATCAGACGATGGTCAACTCGAGAGGAAACAGATTATCAGTAAAAAAAATCTCATGAAAAGAATAAGTAAATCAGACAAAGCGATGGGCACTTTACTGCTGCTGAACTTGTTAAAGCAGAGTATTTGGAAAAAAAAAATCAAACTAACATAAGTCTTTTGAAATTGCTGGCAAACTAAGTCAAGTGGTATAGGAAGGTGTTTTGCAATGTGCCAAAGATCATGTGTGAAATTTAGAGTGGGAGTATTTTTCAGAAACTGTCATGCTGGTTTGTTTTTGACGTTACAATGTTGTCAGTAGTGCTCTGTGGTGGCCAAACATGATGATTTTAATTTTAAATACCATGAGTTCTATTTACTCAATAGGAATGAAACCTCCACACATCGACAAATTTTTTTCTTCATATGACAATATGAAGATCTAAATTTCTGGCTAAAAAAACAATATGACGATAATTTGAATATGACTACGTATTGTTTTGAATGACCCTCGTACATTCCTTTAAGTAAAATCTTCAAGGCACATTTCTTTGACCTCTCATCCTTTTCCTTTTTCCTTGGACGTAATTTAATGTGTTATTTTGTATTTAAAAAAAAAAAAAGACTGAGTGTCTTTATTTGCTTATCAATCTTTTGCATATTCTAAACAAAATTCTATTGTGTTCCATCACAATCAACTTTTTCTATTTTCAGTATCGTTGTAGTATAACATATTTTACGCTTTTGAAAAGAAAACATACTTACAGTAAATGTCAAGCATCTGTTATTCCATCAGGGGGCAAAGGTGTCTCTTTTCAAGTTCAACAGGAATGCGTTGCCTACCACAAGAGAATTCCTTTTAGATTTATTACAGGTATGGGATACAAATGAAGATAGGAATATGACAAATATGCACTGAAGTATTTGTTGAAACTGATTGTATTGTTTTTCTTTAAGAATTGCAAAGTTTTTATTTTTCCATTTAGAGTATTTATCTTTAATGCATAAACATTATCAATTTGACTTAAATTTACAGTTTGTAGATTAGAATACATCGAGTACATTTTTTTTTTTTTGATTTTAGAGCTTGAAAGCATATATATTTGACTAAATGTTTTTTTTTTTATTTCAGCTTAGAAACATAAACTGTAACAACTTGACAAAATTTATCGGACTAACCGAGAGTACCTCAGGTGTTTATGCTGTGAATGAATACTGTACCCGTGGGGATTTAAGGGTATTTTGTTATGAGCACAAACATCAAATGTTTCAACTTTTAATTATCTGATCATACTGTGTAACTCAACTTTTCATTATATATTAATTATATATTTCTAAAAAATAAATATACTTATTTCTTTAAATCCAGACATTACTTAATGAGATATGATTTTAACTTCTTTAGATACCTTGCAAATAAGAATAAGCAGCATGTAGCACAATCTGAAGTTCTATACTGAGTTGAACTTGTCAGAATAATTGTCAAAATATCTTATTTTTTCCTTGAAGGATATTCTAAGTAATGATTCCTTCACACTGAATTGGGAATTTCGAGCGTCCTTAATCTGTGACATAATTCAGGTAAAATTTAGAGTTTGTGATTTTTCTTAATATTAACAATATGAAAAGGAAAAGTTTGAAACAATCAAAAAAATTTCACGTGTATTTGGAATAAAATTGAGTGATGCTCTCAGGTATAATATCGAAACAAGTATTATTAAGTCATTAAATAAGTGCTTAATCTGCAGGCAATGGACTACATCCATAGCTCCAACGTCAAATATCACGGTCATCTGACTAGTATGAACTGTGTGATCGACAGCCGCTTTGTTTTAAAAGTTACAGAGTTTGGAATACAGTCTCTTAGAGATTTTTGTATAGATATTACTGATAAAGGTAATGAAAACATAAATATTAACAGTTTTTTCTTTATAACCAGATTGTGCAAATTGATTGTCTTTACCAAAATAGTAATGTCCAATGAGATTTCTTTGTTTTTTAAAACAGGTAGGACAAAAATGCAAACCATAATAGTTAAAGACTGTAGTTTTATATATATATATATATATATATATATATATATATATATATATATATATATATATATATATATATATATATATATATATATATATATATATATATATATATATATCCATATATGTGGTCAGTTTTTGTATGCCCAATCAGACTCATTTTAAGTCTTTCGCAAGCACTGGTAATCACCATAGGAAATCTGATATAATGTAGTAAGTCGAAATAATCTAGAATCAAAGTCATAACATGAATAAAAATCTTACTAGATATACAGAATTTAAAAGATTCCGGAAAATAACAAGTTAGCTTTTACCCTGTCCTATCGTATTTAAAACGTCACAGATACTCTGCTGGTTGCCCCTGAGTTACTTCGTAAACCAAAAGTTGAGAGGGATGTATTGGAGATGCAGTATGCTGATATTTACAGCTTTGGAATTATCCTATATGAAATATTGTCACGTAAAGAGGCATTCGAGGACGACAAAGAATTTCTCTCGTTTGAAGGTTCGTAAAAAAAGTGAAAAAAAAAAAATTCAGGTGAATGGTTTAATCATTCTCCTTTGTATGTCTGTTTTATGAATATCAAGCTTTGAATTATTTCTAAATTTGCCTTAATTTTTTTTTTGTTTTAATGACTTTCACAATCAAATCCACCTGAGTTTCTATATTTTCAGAAATAATTAGAAAGCTAAAGGAGGTTGATGAAACACCATTCCGCCCAAGGTTAGATGTTGCTGACGCTGACAAAGAAATGGTAAATTTAATGAAGGCTTGCTGGAATGAAACCCCTAAAGCTAGACCAACTTTTACTGCAATCAAAAAAGAAGCTTCACGATTGCACTGGTAACGAAACTAATATTGCTACATAGATTTTGAATTCCATGCTCTATATATTTTTGACCTTTAAAGACGTTAATATAAGTATTACAAAAAGATCAATGTTTAGAAAATGATGTTCTCTTTAATGTTGAATTGACCGGATATTCATTAAACCTTCCAATATTCCACGGAGAGATTTTGAAATTGTCTTACTTCAACTTAAAATAAAGGGGTCATAAATCACAAATAACTAAAATACCGTACAAAATATTTATATTTCTATGCCACCATTCTTTCACCTTATTATTTTTGCAAGCAGCAAAATTGCAATAATCATCGATTTTTTCAGTTTAATCACTTTTCACTTTGATAACCTTGATTAGAAAAACTGTATAATGTAGTAAATTTGAACACATTAAGAAGAAAAGTGAAAGTTATTCGAATAGTTTCATTTACAATGAATTTCATGTATCATCAATATATATATATATATATATATATATATATATATATATATATATATATATATATATATATATATATATATATATATATATATATGCCCTTCTAATATTTTGTTCGAAGGGATAAAACTGGTGATAAGTTTTTGGATAATCTTCTATCCCGGATGGAAGAGTATGCTAATAATTTGGAAGATTTAGTCGAAGAAAGAACACAAGCATTTTTAGAAGAAAAAAGAAGATCAGAGGAGCTCCTTTACCAAGTTCTACCAAGGTACAAACTGAGTAATTGTATAATGATACACCGTTCTAAAAGACCTTTTCACTACGATTAACCATTTGTTTTTGGAAAATAAATACAGTATGAAGATTTTTAAAGATTTTTCATATATATTCTTATGTAAAACTTTGATCCTCCATTGTGACCCCACCCTACCTCCAGGGGTAATGATTTGAAAACACATGAATGTACACCACTTGAGGATGCTTCCCTGTAAATATGACCAATCAGCGCTTTGCTGTTCTTTAGAAGAAGATTTTTAAAAAAAATTTTTTTCTATATATTCCTATGTAAAACTTTGCTCATCCACTGTGGCTCCACCTTACCCCCGGGGGTCATGATTTGAACAAACGTAAATCTAGACTACCTGAGGATAATTCCACATGAGTTTCATCTTTCCTGGCCTAGTGGTTCTTGAGAAGATTTTTAATGATTTTTCCTATTTATTCCTATGTAAAAATTTGATCGTCCATTGTGGCCCCACCCTACCCCTGGGGGTAATGATTTGAACAAATTTAAATCTACACTACCTGAGGATGATTCCACATGAGTTTCATCTTTCCTGGTATAGTGGTTCTTGAGATGAAGATTTTTAAAGGATTCCATTAATTTTTCACTAATTTGTAATTTTCTCCCCTTGGAAGAGGGCGTGGCCCTTCATTTGACCAAACAAACCTGAATCCCCTTTACTCAAGGATACTCTGTGCCAAGCTTAGTTGAAATTGGCCCAGTAGTTCTGGAGAAGAAGATGAAATTGTGAAAAGTTTACAACGACATCGACGCCGACGACGACGACAACGACGACAGACAACGGACAAAATTTGAGCAGAAAAGCTCATTGGATGGAGGAGTGAGCATTCCCTGCCGACCGGTCACACCCGCCGTGTGCTCCTTCTCATGATCTGGAAAACGGAAAAATTCGTCGAGAATTCAGTGTGTAAATAAAGGCCTAACACCTAGTATGAAGAACGTCAGTCAGCATTTAACTTAATGACAGGTTGTTTTTGCTGACAAGGTCATTGTATCGACCATAAAACTTGCGAAATGATGACTTCAAACGAGACTGTTGATTTCCTTGTTCTTCAACATGTTTGTCAATTTTAGAAATTGTTCATACAAAGAGCGTGCTCTTGCGTATCGAATCAACCCCATATGCAGGTGATAAGGGTATATTGCTACTAATGTAAGGGGAGTTGACGATTGAAAAATTGAAGTCATTCCTTTTATCATAGAGCTTTGTTGTTAGGTTACCATTTAAGTTTTTTCTAGGAAAATATCCAAACATGAAACAGATGTGTTAGAATCTGTGGTATCTCTAAAACGCAATTCAAATAATGAGCTTACAAACAAAGACAATGTTGTTACCTGCTTTATCAGCGGGAACCAGTACATACTGATCGTATAATCGTTCTAATTTTTGTTTCAATTCTGCATTGTCGAAAACTGAAGGATAGATGGTTTTCATATTGCCCCTAAATCGCTTAATGCGCTATTTCCACATCCATCTGATACATTTGATCCATTCTGACAAAGTTTCAAGGTCTTTTCTTCATATTTGACCCATCGTCTGGCGTAATCTTCTACTGAATTCATAATATTTTTGAAATTATGTCGCCAGTTGAAAGATGGAGGTTCCCTAAACTTTTGCCCTTTTATAATAATTTTTTTTCTTCTCGTATTTTCTTCCGCGAAATGTGACGGTTTAAATATCTTATGATTTGCAATGGTCCATAATCACAGATCCGATCCTGTATTCTGGTGTTGAAGAATCCAAATATGGACTTCCCTTGACCTTTACAAATAGACTATTCAAAACTTTCAAAGGGACACAATAAAGTTTGGTGCGAATATTATGAGTGCCTAACTGTTTATTTACATAAGGTAGTAGTGAATCAAAACAGGCATCGTGTAAAATAGACCGATGTCCATGACTACGCTTATGTCTCTGTATACTGTTACAAAGTCCCATCACATAGTTCCTCTAAAGCATTTAAAATTTAAATTTGAATGTCTCCCCTCTCCCTGTCTCTCTGACATTCAACCGATATTTCATTCATTTTTCTATTTTTATTTATAAACATATGAGATTATTGTGATTTTGTAGGTATGTCGCCGATGAACTAAGAAATGGTCGAATGGTAGATCCCGAGGCATTTGGTTGTGTTACAATATACTTCAGTGACATTGTTGGATTTACGTCCCTTTCATCCGAGAGTACCCCAATGCAGGTATATTCAGGACAAGATCAAGAAAATAAGTTTACACTGTCTTTTTGGTGCGAGATCCATTATGACGTCATTAATTTTAACTTCTTATCCTATACTTTACGGCTATAACTGAATTATGTAGAAAATGAAGCAATTTTATTAAATTCAATTTGAATTCCATGTCAAAAGTTATCCAGATACTAACATGCGTGTACATTCACTTAAATATTATTTTAAGAAAAGGTCAAGAATTGAAAAATATCGTTTTCTAAAAGACGGAAGGCAATCTGGATACATTTGTTTAATCGAATATGGAAAAACTTCCAAACTTTTATCTAGTGTTTTCTTCATTTTCTTCATTTCTCATTGACCGTTCACGGTAGCTCAGTCGGTAGAGCGCTCGCTCCATGATAGGGAGGTCGTGAGTTCGAATCTCGGCCGCGACTGACCTAAGTCGATAAAAAATGGGTAGCAACTGTTGCTTCGCCATGCGCTCGGCACTTTGAAGTGAAAGCTGCGGGTCCTTCGGATGAGAACTTAAAACCCGAGGCCCCGTGTCACGGCAGGCGTTGGCGCGATAAAGATCCCTTACTGCTCAATGGCCCTGAGTGCCAAGTAAAGGTCAAAATTTGAAGCCCTTCACCAGTATATGGTGACGTCTCTATATGAGTGAAAATTCTCGAATGGGACGTTAAACAACATACAATCAACCAATCAATCATTTCTCATTGAAATTTTGACTTTATGTTACCAATTTAGGTATAGTTATAAAGTATTACTATAGGAACTTTTTTCTTCAAAGGATCAGTGCACTTAAGCTATGAGAGTTGGATCCCGGTGCTTTGCCAATAATAGATTTCCGAAATTTATAAACTTTTTGAATCAGAATTATTAAACAATATCTTAAGAGCAGGGTTTGATATATTATATCACATAAAAATATTAATAAATGCCGAGCGACACTGGTTTTTGCGACAGGGGTCTAGCAGTTTTGTCACATTTCTACTGTTATTCATATGCATACCAGTTTTCAACGACATTGTCTACATCGAGCCGCAACTTGTCCATTCTTCTCATTTGCACAGAATGTGTATTTTGATTTAAACTTAAACATATCCAAAGGGCAATGTTGGACAATTTGCGGCTCATATGTATTTTTTTTTTTTTTAAAAATTCTCCAAACTACGCTCGGGTTAGCTACTAAATTAACAGGTCACCGAGTGTCAACCTATTTTACCTGTTTGATATTATAATCACTTTACTCACGTGACATTCCACTGTTCGATATGCTTTCATTGTGTCTGTCAATGGACTTCAGGGCTGTACACATGTATGACTATGTATTGACTTTTAATACGGTGAATCCTAAGATTTTTGAATCTTATAAAACTGTATTAAGAATAGGGCAATGCTCTATTTCTTAATACAAGTCTTAACTTACCTTTCATATTTAAACAAATCAAAAGTACTCACATTGTGGTCATCCTATTTTTATCATAACAAAAAAAGCACATGGTAAATAATGGTCGACTTTAGCATGCAGTAAAAATATCGAAAAACTCTTTGCTTTATGGGAAGATCAAAAGGAGTAACTACATGTAATTGTAAAAGTTGCCCAAATGCAGCGTTATCTATTTTAAAGAAGTTTTTATAATTACTGGGGTCTTCTCTTTTGCACCTCATCTAGCGATGCATTATGTGCACCAAGTACATATACGAGTGTTCCGCCGCTGTTTCCATTACGATGGTTTTTTTTTCAGTTTTAATGCAATGCATAATACGATAACAGATACTGAGACAGAACCTCGTTTTCCATTATTGAGAGAGAGAGAGAGAGAGAGAGAGAGAGAAATATTGCGAGGGAAACACGTAGAAATCCCTAAAGTCTATTAACAATCTAATAAAACGTATAAAGGTGTGTACAGGAAAGTATTATAATACAAATATAATACTTGTATTATACAGTAACTACAAATCTCACCGTTTGTACCGGTCTGAACAACTTCAAAATAATGAAGAATTTTGCGAAAATTTTATTAGGGTCTTAAAGTTTACCTTGTCTTCTTTCACTAAATTGTGTTTTTTGTTTGGTATTTTGAGGGAAATTCTGGTACTGCCAGTGCAAATCAAGTGCACGATTAGTATATAGCTGTGTTAGCTCATGTCGCCTCTGTATTATGGTCTGCAGGCATCTACAGACACATCCCTAAACACTAGTATCATACCTGACAATATTTGGATTGCCGAAATGAAAGAGATGTTGAAGACATAAGCGAGTGATTATCGATATAGTAACGTTGTAGAATTTTCGTTGACCATGTTTTTTAATCTGAAATATACTTGTTCCGTCAATAAAATGCTAATTTAAATTACAGATAGTTTGTATTTCTTGGAGTTTTCATGTTAACCTAGCGACTCAAATTTCAAGTTAAAATTTTATATTTTATTTCCGAATGTTATTTATCTATACATGCATATAATAAAAATATGTATTACTGTGAGTACTACATACATGTATAATTTGATTCACTACACGTTTGTATTACTCTACGTACTACATGTACAGTGAATTACGATTAAATGTAGTGTGACATCGAAGTCATGTACATGTGAATCTTTCTTAAAACGTACATTCATTCTTTGAATTGAAAAGCATTCAGCATATAAAATGAAAAATGATAAAGCTAAAGAAAAATGAGGGGGCGTTTTTTATCATATACGAAAACTTAAGATTGATCTAATTCGGTGCTAGGCATCAAACATATGGTTACTAATCATGAAAATGAACAATATGTATGGCCATGAATCATTTATTATTTGTGTGAATCATGAAACTACACAATCTTTCTCTCCTCCATTTAAATTCATACTGTAGAATCAATTTGGAAATAATGTGTAAATGTTTACATTCCACTTCCATGCGATTTAAATATCTCCGCCCATTTGCGGGTACTTTAAATTCGAAAGTGGTCCAGTTCAAATTTCCGGAATTTAAGGCTTATACATGTTCATTTCAATGACGTTGTGTGAAATTATAGCAATATGTTTAGCAAAATATTCGAAGTATAAATATCAAAAGCATATGTATGCACAATAATCATAGATTAACTTAGCAATATAGTCTAATTTAAGGCTTAAAATGGGTGGCCGGAAAGGCTCCAAATGACACTCTAAAGTGCACTCATTCTTTGATAAATCTGTAGGTACTTGCATTTTGTTGATCTTGACTTTAAACTCTCAATATTATTTGGAAATCATATTCATTTTTCCATTCCATAAAGATAGAAGGATAGCGAAAAACCGATTTCTTTTCCTGAAAAGTTATTCTGCGAAAACTTGGGTTTAAGAGCAAGAAAGTAAGTAAACAAGAAACCTACTGTTCCTATAAGCTCCCGTTTTAATACCGATTCTAAATCTGTACTGATGATAAAATGAATCTGGAATCTTGAATGGGATATAAAAATAACAAAAAATGATTTACACTCTTTAATTAATCTTTGTAATACTTCTACACTTTTCATTTAAGGTTGTCGATCTGTTGAACGATCTATACACCTGTTTTGATAAAATCATTGAAAATTATGATGTATACAAGGTAAGTGAAATCTCAGTCGACAAAATTATAGCACTTCAGTTACAAAGTGAAAGTTTTATTTGAAGAAAAGGATTTCGTATCTTTGTGACAGAGACCAAAAACAAATATACACAGTATAATCATATTCATCATTGGAATATTAGAAAAAAATGGATAATTTTGTTTATAAATGAAATATTTTTTATTCAGGTAGAAACAATTGGTGATGCGTACATGGTCGTGTCTGGTCTGCCAGTACGTAACGGTGACAGGCATGTCGTAGAAATAGCCAGAATGTCTACTGCCATACTAGATAATGTAAAAATATTTAAAATACGTCACAAACCGAGTGAAAAATTACGTGCTCGTATAGGGTTGCATTCAGGTAAATTTACATTTGAAAGTGTTATTTAAATCTTTTTAAATATTTATTTTTTAAAATACATTAAACATTAGATATTACTTGCGAATGCTGGAAGCATGAAATGGGATAGGGGTGGGTTTTTGGTAACCACTGTCTCTCCACAAGGTACATTATCTCAAAATATAATATTGTGAAAATTTTAAGTGAAACGAAAAAGGTAAGCTTTTGGGGACATCCGATAAGGAATATGCAATGTTTTTTCTTGATTTTCACCATAACACAATAATTGATTCGAAAGTCTCATTGGCGAAGATATTTGCGCCTTAATGTATATCTTGTCTGGAAGGTTGTACTCCACTTTGAATTGTTAATGATTAGAAAATTTCAACTTAACTTTGAACGTTTTCATCACAATATTTTCCATTTTGGATATTTTGCTAGAAAAAGACGTTGGTAACTTAGCAGCAAAACTATATGATAAACGTGACGATTTCGATTTTTCTATCCTCGACTTCCCTCATTTAAATAGCAATGTACCATTATCACCTGACAAGAAGCACACGGCGGGTGTGACAGGTTGACAGGGGATGCTTACTTGGCCATGGCACCTGATCCACCTCTGATGTGTTAAGATGTCCGTGTTTGCTCTTCTCCAAATCTGTATTGTTTTAATGGACTTTTGAGCTTGATTAATTTTCTTTATCTTCATATTTCATTGAAGAGTTTAGAAAGATATCCTGAATTCAGCTCCAAAACTATAATATGGGAATGAATTTAAGGCTTCTTACTAACATTATTCATAATATTTTTATTTTTGATATTGAGGACCCGTTTGCGCTGGTGTTGTTGGACGAAAAATGCCACGATATTGTCTTTTTGGTGATACAGTAAATACTGCCTCTCGAATGGAGTCAAATGGGGAGGGTGAGTACATTTCATAACATATATTTTTATTATCGGAAGCTTTTCCTCTGATAACTTGCGCTTTGATTATATACTGTTTAGTTTTATAATTCTTCAAATGATATCAAAAAATGTTCATCTTATTTAAAATTTGCAGAATGCTATTTTTGAAATACTTGATAATGTACATGTATTAATCAAGGATACTTAACAGAATTTGTTTAAAAAAGAACATTTTATCAGAGCACTTCATTTTAATAGCGGCTGCTGTTTATATGGGTTAGAATCTAACATTCACTTCAGTCAAAGGTAAAATGTATATAATTCATTTTGTAAGTATTATTGCTTGCATTCTTAAATAGCAATGAGAATACATGTAAGCGAATCTACTAGAAATCTTCTTGCTGACAACCAAGACTTTGAGCTGGAGGAAAGGGGGCAAATACCTGTAAAGGTAAACGTACACGAGTCTTAAAACTTGATGTCTCTGTAAAGTGTTTTAAGGCTTGATTCAGCTTTTATGGTTGATAGGATGCTAATTTTGTTTTAAAAATATTTTTTGAAAAATTAAGACAAATATTCCAAAATAACTAGCATATTAAATGGAAATCTGGGTGATCGACACCGATAAGGTTAATTGAACAGAAACAAATCGGATAAACCTTTTAAATGAATTTCAAACCATAATTAAGAATCTAAGATACATGTATGTATTTCTAGGGCAAAGGTGTAATGAAAACATACTGGTTAAATCGCAGAGATGGAATCCGGCTTATCTAAATTAATTTGGCGTTTTGACTGATCAACATTTATCTGGTTTGTTGAATTGATGTTAACGATATTACAATGCAGTGATACATTTGACAATCCTCTGATGTTCATAAAATACTTAAATTTATATGTAAATTACATTTTGTATGTTTTTAACTTCATGCAATTTTATGTGATGAATAAGATGCATGAAATTTTACAAAGATTGTTTATTTGTGATGTAAAGAACTGCATGTATTTGAGCGATAGAATATGAAAATAAATTCTTATCAGTATAAACAAATTCATTGTCTTATTTATAACATGGAATTTGTTATTTCACTGTTCGTTATCTTCACCTTTTAAATTCATAAAATGTTTTATTTCAAAGTTTTGATATTTGGGTTATTCGATTTGTAGGTGAATGGAACAACTACTAAATGAATGGTAACTGATACTTTTCTATATTCGTAAAATATTCAAATAACACTCTGTAAGTCAAAACGTCTTAAATATGTGTAGCAGGGATAGAGTCAGGAATTTCAGTTGAAGGGTGTGAAAAAATCTTCTTGAATTCTTGCCGATTGACGTTCGCTATTTTTAAAAAGAAATAAAATCATTCTTTTTCACTTTTACAAACTAACATGGTAATATTAAAATAAAACCTTTTACAATCTTCTCAAACAGCAGAGTCATAACTGATCGAATTGATATTATCCACGTGCAAGACTTTGTTTTGAATTAAGGACCACACAAGGGGATCAAAAGTTTACATGGATATATATTAGGGAAAATATTAGTTTTTTCGCGTTTAGCCTAAGGATCGACCTGCGTCTTATGCACCTGCTTCTCTAAACTGCCTTAACATGAGGTCATAGTGGAATATGGCATCACGACACTGCAAATTCGAACTGATAAATGCGACGTATTCAAAAGAAAAAAAAGAATTTGAAATGTTCTCGTTTATCCGTAGAATTTATGCATGCATATGAGATTGGCAAAAGTTATAAACAAGGATAAACTGAAGATATTTATGAATCTCTAAGAAGAGAATGTTTTCTTAATAAATCTTGATGATGAGTTAGTTAGTTTTATCTCCATTTTTTTTTTTATTAAAGATTGCGATGTAGAGTTGAAAATATCCACAAATATATGATTGAGTTGATATTCTGTAGTATTTATTAAAAGGCTCATTCTGATATATCCCTTTTAAAATAAGAGATGCTTCAAAATCCTGTCAATTTGAAATAATTTCAATAATTCCAACAACCAAATTAAACTTTAATTACTAAACCTATGCTGGATTCCTAAACTACAAGAAACCTTTACAATTTATTAAAATCCACATGTGACGTCACTCTTTTGTTTGAGCACTCCATTATTTGTCAGGAATGGATTTTCACATTACATTGAAAACAGTATTTGCTATGTTCAAATTCTCCTTCCCGTGCCTCTACTGAAGAAAGAACTTTGAAAATTTCATTAACTAAGGTTTTTTTTCTCATATTAAGACAGAATGGCACTGGTACAGCTGAGAATCGAACCCGATACCCTAAACATGAGAGTGGGACACTCATCTCACTGCCCTATCGAAGCTGTTGACAGACGACTGATTTCATTTTTGAAACACTTTACTCGCCTTTCTCTCTCTCTCTCTCTCTCTCTATATATATATATTAAATGCTGCTACTATGTTAAATGTATATTTACTGTGTATCTTTTATATATTTTTATTTCATATTAACAAACAATAATAACAAGCATTTAAAACAGTGAATTTTAAACGGGTTTATGTACTTCTAGCGCTCCATTCCTTAAAAGCAATGGGCCTCGGCCCCTTCGGTGTCTCGGCTCCATTACTTTTAAGGAATTGCATGAGCGCTACTCATACATTAACCCTAACAGATACAAGCGTGATCTAGCAAATGTTCATCTTTGTTTCCTACAGCGCTACAAATCGTACAAAATATGAATAATAAAATTGGTTCCACTTTTTGTATAGCTAAGGGCTTTAAAATATCAACTCATTATGTATCCTCATGCAGTATACAAGTTTGTCTGAATCATTGCCCTCTGGACCAAATAGAGATGCATTAGGCTGTCAAGTGATTGTAATGGTAGATAAGGAAAAACACATATGTTGCGTATAGAAAAAGTCATTGTGACACTCGGGAGACCCTTAAAGCTGCTTATTTGTGATTGATATTATATTTTAAAAAATACAAATTATGAGCAGAGCCAACATGGATCTCTGAAAAGATGTGGGATCAGAAGTTATTGAGGAATAAGCATCCCTTGTGGACCGTCACACCCACCGTGTAACCCTTGACATGTTCTGGTAAAAAGAAAAATCGTAGCCAATTAAGTGTCAAAATAATGGCCTATCAGTTGCGTGTTAAAGACCTCAATTAACTTTCGACCTACATGTAACTACAGGTTGTATTTGCAAACAAGGTCATTGTATTGAAGATATATTTTACAAAATTTGGAAATTAAACCTATATATTTAATTCCCTTTCAACACTATTACCCCATATTGTTATCAAACGTATACTTACAGTTCCTTTTCAATATCTCAAATGGTATTCCAATTTATACACACAATATTCTATGAATTCTTCAATGGTAGTTTTGCTTTTACCCACTAGTCCCTTTGAATACCTTTATGGCAATCGAACATAGACACACGCTCCCCTTTCAATGCCTCCTATGGTCTACTCACAGTTTTCTTTCAATATTTTATTAAAATCCATCGTCTACCAATAGTTCCCTTTCAAAAAATGAAGTTTTTTTTTTACAATCAATTGTCAGTTTTGATTACTTTTAATTCAAGTCAACAGTATTGAATTCGAGTTATCAAATCTAAACTGGATTCCAAAACTTCATAAACATCCTAACAAACGCAAATACATGTACATTGTAGAGTCTAATAAATGTTCCACCCAGTTTTTTTTTACTCCTCACAGACATACTAACTGCTGTGAATAATATAAGACGGACTATGCTACAACATACAAGTGTTCAAAACGTTGTATAAATCAAAAAGAGTTCTCCAAAACTCCAAAGAGCGTTTAGAAAATTTGAAATGTATTTTTTTTCCAGAATTAACAGCCTCAAAACATGCATCTGACATTTCAGCTTCATTACAACCATTCCTCATGCAAATTTCAATTATCATCAGCCTTTTTTTACATCATAGACAATGCCTCTGCAGTAAAAGTTGGGCTCCAATCATATCTTGGATTGGTCATCTAGAAAAAATCTAGATATCGAACATTAACCAAGTTCAAACGTCCACTGAAACAATACCCGTTTGGGGCAGAGCAAACATGCACCACTGAAAACTTTAGAGGTGGGAACAGCTGTCCTGGAGGAGTAAGCATCCCCTGTGGACCGGTCACATCCATCGTATGTTCCTTGTTATGATCGGACAAAAGGAAAAATCCGTAGACAATTCAATATGAAAATAATTGCCCAACATTTTACGTGGAAACGACATTCAGCATTCGACTTAATGATAGATTGTATTTGCTGACAAGGTTATTGTATTGACCATAAAATCAGTGAAATTTTTACTTTATACGAGACTGTTGATATTCTTGTTTCATAAACTTATTTGTCAATAGCTTGGTTCGTTTTAGAAATTGTTTGTAATCTCAAACATTTCAACGCGACATCAGATTTCATATTTTGTATGATAAGAGACTGATATAAGATACTAGTAATACATAGATCGTAATTTCATTAATTCCAATACCAGGCGTAGAGCTGCATTTTTTAAAATTGACAGATATTTTAAAACAAAATATCTTCGAGTGTTTTTTTTTCCGGATATCCTGTTTTTAATCATCTAACGCCAGATTGCTTTGCTACGAGAAAACAGCTGATTGTATATGATAATGTAGAAAATAGATGGGTCATTGAACGATTTTAAGGGTTGTCCTTGAAATGATCTCAAATTCATTTTTAGAACAATAAAATAAGCGTGTATCCTATTATGATTATCACTCAAATTACAGCTCAGCTTTGTTAACTTAAAACATTTTTTTTTACTATCAAAGTCAAAATATATTTTTAAAATCTAGATAAAATAAATAAATTAAAACAAAACAATTTTAAACATTAAATAATTTTTTAGACAGTTTTTTTTAAAAGTAAGATCATACTAAATACAAGGAAAGATGCTACAAACAATTTATTCTTCAAAATTATGATAAAAAATATGTTTTAAGTAAAATTAAAAAGGAAAAAGGTTAAGCCGCATAAATTTCATTATTCATTCAATATTTCTCAATAATATTCTATAAAATGATAAAAGGAAATATAAAGAGATTCATAAGGGAAATGAAAAAATCAAAATAAGACTTAGTCAATCCATGCATCCAATTTTTTTGTTTGTTGGCATGTGTGAACTACTAGTATTTTAAAGTCCATAATTACTTGAAGAAATTGAGATCCTTCAAGCGTTTACCATACCTTTCCTATCAAATAGGAGACTTAATTTAGACATTCAGACTTGAGATTTGTATCATTAATATTAATAAATCTGTTATTATTATTATTTTTTGTATTAGAAAATACCAAAATACTGAAATGGCGACAAATAAGATCCGACATTAAAATAATCACACATTTACAAAATGTCATTATGATCTAGAACCTAACATAATCATAGCAAAACTTCTTATGTTGATTGTGGACAAGTCAGTTGCAAAACACACAATGGTCATAAGCGCCATGTAAAAAAAAAATGGAATAGATTGTGGAAAAGTGAAACTGAGATCAAAAGTGAGCTCTTCTAAGTCTTATGGCCCCGGAGCCAGGTCTCCCAATCTAACAGAAATTCTCGGAGGGATGATTTTAGCAAACAAGCAACATGGGGCATAAATTTTATAAGTTCATACGGGGTTCTCATGGAATATTATTTTTACTTTCGTTATGAAAAGCAGAGAACAATTTCTTCTTCAATAATCAATGCAGTTAAATGTGTTTGTACCGGTGATACTTTAATTAACTGAATAAAAAATAGGATTTTCTTTATTAATTCTATTTTAGTGCATGTACATGTATATCATAAATAAATAATGTTTGTAGTATTTGATTGTTTTGAGAATATACTGAGTTGTCTGAAATAGTTCAACTAAACATTTTACTTTTAATTAAATAAATCCTTGCAGCATAACACATAATTCATGAAACAGGTGTATCTTGCAACGGATGTAAAACGTGCTTTTATCATAGTTATTATGCCACGTGTTCTTA